GTGGCAGTTTATTATATATAAATTATATAGTGATAGTCTATTTAGTATATTTTTTTGTATATATTTCAAGGTTATGCATAATGAATATTCAGTGATATCCAGGTTTTTCTTTTTCATCTCCATATACAAACACACACTCATTCATCTCCAGATTCTTTGAAGCTAATTTGAACTGAGTCGCCATTATCTATGCTATCTTTTTTCCGCTGAACAGCCTGCGCTCTATCGTCTACTTCTCCAACTCTCTCACAGACTTCCAAACAACTCTACTGAAAACCCCATCTCACAAACCCCCCAAAAAGCCCAAACCAAACCCCAACATATTCTTCTGCTCCGTTACACCAGACCCATGGACACTCAGCAACGGCAACAAAAAAAACCTAAACAAACCAAAATCCAAATCAAAATACGCCAAAAACTCATTTTTCGACGACAACTGATTTTGCATATGATTGGTGGAAGATTGGAATGGCTCGATGGCAACAAAATTTATCGTATTTGAGCAAATTTAGGCTAGCCATTATAATTTATTTGGAGCTATAAATTGTATGGCTTAATTCATGGCTAGCGAATGATAATTGTTTAGACCGACGGGCTACAAATGAAATTTGCTCATAAATTTGTCCCTTACCTTCGTATGCAAGAGATTTCACTAGCGCTGGTGTTTAACTTTTGTCCTTGTTAAAAAAGTTTACTACTCCTCTTTTTTTTATGTCATTTTATGTGCTGTAAAAACTTGAAAATCTGTTGCTTATTGTGGGTGGTTTGAAATTTGAATTGGTTTGGTGAAGAAACTTGAAAAACATCTTTGTTGAGTTATGTTCAACTTGATTATTGAAGAAGAGAAAGTGAGTCTCCGATTTTTAAAGCTTTGGGTTGAATCTAATCATTGGGAATTATTGAGATTAGTATTAGAATGTTGGATATAATATTTGGAGTCATTTGAAGTTGATTTGGATGAATTTTGAAGTGAAAAACGTGTTTGTGAAATTTCTCAAAAACTTTTGGTGATGCGCCAAAGATTTTGAATAATTTATTCTGAAGTTACGATAGTATTTATATTAAAGTCCTAATAATACTCATGTTGCAAGGTTATGATACAATTCGTACTAAACTCGTGATAATTTATTGCAAACTCATTTCATCAAAAACTCCTAGTGACCCGCCATTAGTCTTGGCGAGGAAAATCTTGTGACATCCGCTCGAAATCAAACTCCAACTTGTAACTCAAAGCTATTTTTGCACAATTTATTGAAATGGAGTGAAAACATAAACCACGACACGAAAATAGGCTATTCATTTAAACCTCGTCTAATGGGTGAAGGAGCTTATCATATCTCCCTGAACAAGTGCATTAAAGCTTGGACTAGAGTAAAAAACTTGATAATTGCAGCAAATCCGAAAGCTTACCATGAAATCTCGAAGAGCAATTGGGCCTACCACGGCCCATTTTGGACTGTTTCTGTAGTCGTATTTCTTCTCATAAGCTGGACATTTCCCTTTCCGCCATTGATGGCAGTACGAAGCTGTGACTGTGTGGTTAAAAGTTAAAAGTAAGAGTTCTAATAAATAGCGGAGTAAGAATTAAAAGAAAAGCGGTTAAATGAAAATTACTACTCCCTACTACGTACATGAGTTAAAAAAGACATAGTTTTGGCACTAAATTTTGCAAAGGGAGAACAAAGTAATACTAATAGAGTATAACTTTATTAGTATAATAATAATAATAATAATAATACTTTTGGGGCCTCTATATTTTGAGGTCTAAAGTGGTGGCTTCATCCGCTTTACCCTTAAACCGCTGCGTCCAAAGTGAATTCCGGATACAAATAAGAAACAAAAAAAAAAAAATCTATCGACTTAAAAGGATCTTATAGTCGGGAATTTAGAATTAAAAAAAAAGTAGGACGATGATTTGATAGAAGACTTAAAAGGACTGTCTTGAGAAACAAACAAATCCTTCAATTCGAAAGTTCACGTATCCAATCCTCCTATCCCTTAGTTCATTTTGTAGAATCAACAGAGATGCGAAAGAACAAACTAGAAATTTAAAGAAATAATTTAGAAAAACACCAATTGAAAATAAAATTAATAATCTTTTCTTTTCTCTCCTTTGATCTATTTCTTACTTTACTTATTTTGTATAATCAATACAAATAGACCACATACCTTTCAGGAATAGCCATTACAATCCTCTGTCGTACACCACCCAATGCTCAAAAAGCAAACAAAGAGAAATTGTTGATCATTAGCTTCAGAAAAAAGAAGAGAGAGATCTAAACATTCGTGTTGTGATATTTAAGCTCAGGCATTTATATATCGGTTACTAAAGATGCATTGAATTAGTAATACTCTGATTGATGTATTACAAACAGCAGTAGTTTCCTAAAAGAGGAGAGGGTCAAAGAAAATTTGAACCTATCTTGGAGGTGAACTTGACATGTCTGTAATTAAAAAATCTTTCCCTTCTATTTGGTTCAACCATGACCAAATCTTTATTTTGTGGTTGATTTAATTTTTCCTAGGATTTATAAATTACAATATTTAGAGTTAGTAACTCTTATTTAAATCTCTATCTCTATAAATATAAATTTTATCTTTATACTCAAGGATGCGACATAATGGTCAACGAAGTGGATGTAAACCTTGAAGACTAAGGTTCGAATATTTTCAACAAAGATAAAAAAACATACTTGATCGGAAAAGTTACCTAATACATATGCTTGTGAAATGGAGTAGGTGTACAATATATAGTCGAGATACATGAAACTGTACACCACCCTTGTTTAAAAAAATTTATCTTTATAACATAATTTAATCAGCATGTAAAACAAATTTTAAATAAACCTACAAATTCAAAATAGAAGGATAATCCTTTTATGTTTAAAGAGGTACATATATATTAGTCGCGCAATGATTCAGTATCAACATTAAATTTACGGTTTAAACTTTCCAACGCATTGAAAACAACGAGTTATTTGCTTTTCTTATAAGACGATTTTGCAACCATATATCCTTTTATAAGTACTCCGAATAGCTAATTTCATCGAATATTTACTCAGTTCGATGTTACATATTTTCCCAAAAACATGCCAATTATTGTAGACGGTAAGTTTTCCAAAGTCTAAGGTTGGTGTAAATGGAACAGGAGTTTACATTGCCAACTCAAAATTAAGACTTTCTTGCCAGACAAACCACCACAAATTCAGAATTAGATTCGGTCTTATAACAAAATACTAGTAGTAATATAATAACCAATAAAATTCAAAAGAATCTTTGACTTTCATCTTCTGTTAAGACCAAGTTAAGTCATAAATTAAGGACGCTAGATTCTCTACAAGTCAAAAATGAAATTATTCATAATAGCATAAACTGCACAATACAAATCCCAAAAGGGTTTTGAACAATGGCTACACTTATTTTCAGTAATTCAATAAATGCTAAAAGAAGAATCTATGCTTATGTAATAACGGGATCTAGATAAATAGTTGGTTGAATTTATTATTTACTTTTCATAGTCAGTGTTCATAAATTATATATTAATTATATACAATTATGCATATATATTATACATGACTTATCATAAAAATAAGCTCTAAAAAATTAAAATTATCTTAAGGATGGATCATTAGGTTTGGATTAGAAAAGAATTCTAGCTATTTGGAGAGATTATTAGCATATAATTGAGTCCAAAATCAATCAATTTCAAATTTTTCATAAAGATAATAGTGTAAGGACCCGACCGGTTATTTTGTGTATTTAAATTTCATTTCTCCTTTAGAATCTTTCCGTATGTGCATTTATGGTTTTATGACTTTCAAGGATAGTTGATTTCGTTTCGGAAAGGTCTTGGATTGATTTAGAATAATTGGTTCTTAGTTTGGAAGTTTAAGATGGAAATACTAACCGAGGTTTGACTTTTGTGAAAACGATCTCAGAACGGTTTTTTGATGGTCCCAATAAGTTCGTATGGTGATTTTGGACTTAACTGTATGCCCGGAATTGAATTCGGAGGTTCCTAAGTTGAATTGGCTCCTTTTACCGAAAGTTGGCAATTTGAATTGCACTAATCGAGAGTTGGTACCTCCTGTTCTTTGTTTAATATCTATGTCTTTCCTTGTTAGTATCCAATTAGTTTGCGTTAGTTTAAGCCTATTCTTGGTTGAATATAATTATTTAGTGCATTTGCCTGGATATTTTTCTTGCTAGTAACTGTTTAGGGATTTATAGACTATAATTTGATTTCTTAGTAGCTGCTCTGTTGGCATTCTTTTTGATATCTATTGTTATCACTAGTTTAATTGTTGCTTGTCTGGTTGTCTTATCTGTACGCATTTCTAGTGGTTAGAGTTGTAAGTGTTAGACCAACCTTCTTTAGTTTAATCCTTTGTCTGTTTTAGCGACAGTTCTAGCGTAATTTTTCGTAGATTATAGTGGCTGGGGTGAGTGATGGTAGAATAAGGTCATGTCCTCAGGCGGGGAGGGGGGAG